GGCTGAGTTCTAAAAATTGAGTGAGCTACATCCCAGCCTAGCTCTCAGTGGCATTTCGTTTTTGAGCCATGAGTTTTTAAAAGCACGTTCTTTAATTTGTAAGTGTTTGGTAACTGTTGTGTCATCTTTATGTTCCTGGATATACCCTATATGATTTTAATTCTTTTAAATTTGTTAAGCATTGTTCTGTGTGATTCAAGATATGATCTATTTATGTAAATGTTAATTTTTTAAAAAAAGAATGTGTAGTCAGTTGTTGAACAGAGAACTCTATAAGTAATAATTAGGTCTGGCTTGTTGATGGCATTTTTCATTTCTTCTATACATTTGCTGTTTTGTCAACCATTAAGAGTGGGATATTGAGCTGGGCGTGGTGGCACACATCTGTAATCCTACCACTTGGGAGGCTGAGGCAGGAGGATCACTGTGAGTTTGAGACCAGCCTGGATACATGGTGAGTTCCTGGTCAGTCTCAACTACATAGTGAGACCCTGTCTCAAAAACAAACAAAAAAAAAAGGTGTGGGATATTGAAGTCCCCAACCATGATTACTGATTTATCTATTTTTCTTTTTAGCTCTATCAGATTTTTCTCTGTTTATTTTGAAGCTCTGTTGTTTGTTGCATACACATTTAGGATGGCTATCTTCTTGGTGGACTGAACATTTTGCCATCATATAATGTCTTTTTTTGTCCCTAGTAATGCCTTTATGTGACATTAATATAGTTTTCCTGCTTTCCAAAAACTGTGTTTTCATTCTTCACTTTCAACCTGCCTATGAGGTATGCTAAAAATATGACAAATGTTTAAATCTTAAAAATTTATTACAGTAAAAAACACATTGTCATTAATCTCCCTCAAAATACTCCCCCTTTAAAAAACCACACTTATCCCATTATTCTTGCCACTTTCTGAAGCAGTTCTGGAAGTCCTCTTTCATATCTTTTGTTGCACCATCATGGCTAGCTCAATGTCATGAATGGTTCAAAAAATTTACCTTTGATGATTATTTTGACTTTGGAAAAGAACCAGAAGTTGTGCAATGCCAGATCTGGTGAACATGTGGATGAGAACACATTGTCATGTTTTTATGAGCCTGCCTTTCCATTGTATGGTACTAGGTATTTTTGATTGCATCTCAGAAAGACACTCACAAAGAGGACTTAAGTTATTACAGTGTACTGATATTGATGGTTTTCCCCCTCACTTTTGTGTTCAGATCTTACTTCTATTTAGATTCCTTTACCCTCATGTACATTATACTATTTAAAGTATTTTCCTCATATACATTATACTATTTTAGACAGTGTTACACCTTTGCTTTAATCATGAAACATGATGTAAGAAACTCATGAGGTTAAGGTTATTAAGGGTTATTTACTGTGCTTCTTCCGCATTTACCCATTCCATTATTCTTGATTCCTTTCTGAAAGTCCAATCTTTCATTCTTGTTTTCTATTTGCAGAGCTTCCATTAACCATTCTTTAATGATAGGTTTCCTGATAACAGTTTCTCATAGTTTTCCTTCTTTGACCCTCCTGTATCTGGTTAGGATATTTCCACCAGATATGTGATCGCGGGCTGGCTTTTCATTTCTTTCAGCACTTCAAACATGTCATGCCACTCCCTCTGGTCTCTATAGTTTCAGATGAGAAACTGCTATCATCTGAGTTGGTGTTCTTTTATAGGTGGTACCATAATGTTATTTCTTTTTATGAAGTGTGTATAGATGTTTTGTCAGACTCTGTATACATAAGCCACTTTTTTTTTTTTTTTTTGGTATGGGGGATCGAACTCAGGACCTTGCACTTGTGAGGCAGGTGGCAGAACCACTGAGCTAAATCTCTGGCCCCCATAATGTTATTTCTCTTTGCCCATTTTTAGGATTTGCCTTTGCCTTTAGTTTTCAGATATTTATTTTATTTTATTTTTTAATTAGTTTAATTTATTGGTACATTCTAGGTAGACAGTACAGTTACATTCATTACTGGGATCTTGTACCTTTACATGCCAGGTCTTGGTTCTCATTTTTTCCCCTTGTCCCCACCCTCCCTTCACCCTAGTTTTCAGAAATTTAAATACAATGTGTTTTGATGTGGAATTTTTTGGTTTATTTTATTTACTCAGCTTCTTGAACAGTAGTTTTTGTATCTTTTACCAAAGTTGGGGATTTTTAAACTAATGTTTTTTGAATTTTATTAAAGTTCCTTATTCTTTACACTCTCTTCTCTAAAATTCTAATGGTCTGAGTATCAGATTATTATTCTCCCAGAGATCTCTGAGGCTTTTCTGTTACTGGCATTAGTTGATTTAGTTTCTCATCCAAAAGAGGTATTTCTTGTTCTTGGTATGGTGAGTGACTTTTTTATTGTACCTTTGACATTTCCATTGTTATATGAGGAGAGACTCTTTAATCCCATTTGAATCTTGTCATTCAACAGGCAATTACTGTGTTTAAGTTCACAATTGTGGCTTTCATTCCTGTGACAGTTTAGTTTTCTGAGTTGTCTTATGCTGCAGGGGCCCCAGAGAATTCCACTGGTGCTGTCTGCAGGGTGGGAGGCTGTCTGTGACCTTCTGGGGTCATGGGGACTGACACAGTGAGGCTGCATCTCCTTATGCTGCAGAATAAATATGCAGGAAATGGAAGTACTTAGCCCAGTACACACTCAGTAAATGTTTTTATAGTTATCAGCACCACACCACTCTTCAGCCCTCTTTCACCATTGGAGCTTTAAGTACAGAATTACTTGCTGAATTGTGAACAACACTCACCTTCCTCTCTATGTCTATCTACCCATCCTACTCATCCTTCCTAGTCTTCCCAGACATCTCCACCATGAGATTCTTTACTCACTTAGCTAGAGCAAGATATACCCTGTGCCAGGCATGGTCTGTGATGGGTTTTGACAGTGCTGGCAGTGGTTGTCCAGGCTTCTAACACTATCCCGTGAATCCCTATTAAAAACACAGTTTGGTCTGGTTTTGTAAGTTATATTCCAGACCTAATAAAATGCCTGGTACATGGGACATAGATGCTTACAAAACATCTGAAATGAAAGGGAGTAAAGCCACATAAAGGAGAAGTGGGTGAGTCAGGGCACAGAATTCCCTACTCATGTCTAGGTCTGAGACACTTTTTTTCATGGTACTAGAGATGGAACCCAGGACCTTGTACATGCTAGGCAAGTTCTACACCCCCAGGTTCATGAAGAGAAGCTGTTAATGGAGAAGGCATCTGCGGGGTATGGCAAGTCTTTGGAAATGAGACATCTTGGGTAGGGATTGAGCATGTGCCAATCATCACTCTCCCTTCTTATCCTGATTCCTGAGGCAGAGCCTGTTCACCCTGTGGAAGTTCCATGAGGGTGTGAGTCACATGACGGAGGCACCACCAATCAGATTAACCTCCTGGGCTTTGAAGTGAGAATGACTGGGTGATGGACCTACAGGGAAAACCATGGCAATGGTGGCAGGTACAGACTGACATGGCTCCTGGATGCCAGAGGCAGTGGGCTGCTGACCCGTCTGATACTTTCAGTGTCAGTGAGGCAAATGTAGTATCTGGTGTTCGGCAGCAGAGCTGTAGTGGGACCTCTGTCAGGCAGGTCTGAAGCAGGGCTGGGGACATCCCTCCCTGTGTGAGGTCTCAACCCAGATTCTCCTGTAGCTCGGTAATTCTGTGAGCTATGCCAAGGACCCTTTCATAAACTTTCTTCTTGAGTCAGCCACTGTTGGTTTTTCTTGCTTACAACTGAAGCTGAACTGAGACACCAGATCTGAGAACAAAGATTTAAAGGGGCTTTTGGAAATCTCAGAGTCCTGTAGATCTGATTGATAATGTCATGGTAAGGATTGCTTTTGCATATTAAAGAAAGTGTATTCCAATAAATTTACATCTATCTGAAAATCTATTGATAAAGCCCTCATTTTTCTAATTTATAATTGTTTAATATGATTGGAGAGTTTGCTAAAAATCTATCATTGTTTTCCCTTGACACAGAATGTGTATATTGATACCTGCTCTTTTTTACATGAAGAGCTGTGGATGGTGTAATGATTAATGTGTTGTGTAGGAGAGGAATGAGCCATAACTTATTCCCCTTGGTTGATTCTGATTTTGACTGGTACAGTGTCCCTCAGTATCCATGGTGACTGATTGGATCTGGGACCTCCTGCTGATCCCTCACTCTTTGGATGCAGAGCCTCCTAGGGAAATTGGAGAAGTGTTTGTATATAACCTGGGCCCATCCCACCTCTAGATGACTCAGTACCAGTACAATGCAAATGCTATGTAAATGATGCCTATACTGTATTTATTTAGGGAACAATGTAAAAAGTCTGTAGGTGCCAGTGCAGATGTGATTTTTCCCTGAATATTTTCAACCCAGGGTCTGTTTAATCTATAAACATGGAACCCACAGATATGGAGTGTGTATTTATTCTTATCATGTGTAAAGTAGAACATTTAGAGTCTCTCACTTCCCACTGTACAGCCATAGAAGACCTAACAGATGAATACATGTACTTGAAGTATATACTAGAACCTGTTTGGGTTCAGATTACGTTAGATATGCCCATGAGCCCACTGTTAGATTGCTAACACTATCACTCTCATGTTTGCTGGATGGTGGGGGTCCTGAATAAATCCTGGTTTGAAATAAACACACACTCCACTGGGGTAGCTTCAGGCTTCATATTTATGCTCTGTTGACAGCTGGGTGAGCAGTAACTGAGTAAGAAATACACAGATAACATTTAGACCTCTGTCATCCCAACAGGAAATCCACAGTCCTGACTTCTAGCAGTCCTTGGACTGCCCAAACAGTGACATCAATAACACACCCAGGGATTTCATTTTTTTGAATCACTGCGCTTAAATCATTATCTCAATATAATTTTAATTTTCCTTTTATTTTAGAAGTCCCTTTCCTCCTTTTTTAAAAGCAGGAAATGCATACTACTTGGTGAGATCTTTGCATATCTCTTTTTTGGCACAGGTTGGAAGCTCTACAAACACCCTGCAGGCCCTGCAGATTGCTTTTGCTGATCATGAAACGCAGGTCATCTACCTTCTGACTGATGGGAGACCTGATCAGGTACTGACCATAAAAGTTGGGAAAGAGGGGCTCACCAGTCCTCTGAAAGTGAATGCTAACCCTTTACAATTGCCATCAAAAAGCTCTTGAGCCAGATGTGGTGACACACACATATAGTCCTAGCACTCCCAGAGGGTGAGGCAGGAGGATCATAAATTAGAGCCCTACCTGGGCAACTTAGTAAATTTGTGAGCCTGGTCTTGAAATAAAAAAGGACTATGGATATAGCTTAGTGCAAAGTCATTGGGTTTCATGGAAAATTCATAACATTGAATGCCCACACTAGGAAAACAGAGCGGGCTCAAATAAACAACTTAACGATGAAACTTAGACTCCTAGAAAAACAAGAGCAAGAAAAACCCAAAGCTCGAACAAGAGAGGAAATTATAAAGATCCGAGCAGAAATCAATGCAATTGAAATTAAGAAAATGATACAAAAAATAAATGAAACAAAGAGCTGGTTTTTTGAAAGAATAAATAAAATCGACAAACCCTTAGCTAATCTTATCAAAAAAAGGAAAGAAAAGGCTCAGATCCATGCAATTAGGAATGAAAAAGGCGAAGTCACAACAGATCCGAAAGAAATCCAGAGGATCATGAACACCTACTTTGAGAACCTGTACTCTAATAAAATGGAAAACACAGAAGAAATGGACAGATTTCTAGATACTTATGAATTACCAAAGTTGAACGAAGAAGATAAAAACATTTTAAACACCCCAATCACAATCAGTGAAATTGAAAATGTAATTAAAAACTTACCAACAAAGAAAAGCCCAGGCCCTGATGGATTCACTGCTGAATTTTACAAGACATTTAGAGAAGAACTACTACCATTACTCTTCAAACTTTTCAATGAAATTGAAAGAGAAGCTATACTTCCAAATTCATTCCTGGAAGCAAGTATCACTCTGATTCCCAAACCAGAGAAAGATACAACCAAAAAGGAGAACTACAGACCAATCTCCTTAATGAATATAGATGCAAAAATCCTTAATAAGATACTAGCAAACAGAATACAGAGGATTATTAAGAAGATCATCCATCATGACCAAGTCGGATTTATTCCAGAGATGCAAGGGTGGTTCAACATACGAAAGTCAGTGAATGTAATACATTATATTAACAAAGTCAAGGACAAAAACCATATGATCCTCTCAATAGATGCAGAAAAAGCATTTGATAAAATTCAACACCCATTCATGATAAAAACCCTGCAAAAAATTGGAATAGATGGTCTATACCTCAATTTAATAAAGGCTATTTATGAAAAACCATCAGCCAACATCATATTGAATGGCCAAAAACTGAAAACCTTCATGTTAAAATCAGGAACAAGACAAGGATGCCCACTATCGCCACTTCTCTTCAATATAGTTCTGGAAACATTAGCCACAGCAATTAGACAAGAGAAAGAAATTAAAGCAATAAAGATAGGAAAGGAAGAAGTTAAACTATCATTATTTGCTGATGATATGATACTCTACATTGAAGATCCAAAAAACTCCACCAAAAAACTTCTAGACTTAATTGACAGATTCAGTAAAGTATCTGGATACAAGGTGAATACCCAAAAATCAATAGCCTTTCTATACACAAATAACAGACAGACAGAAAGAGAAATAAGGGAAAAAATTCCTTTTACAATAGCATCCAAAAAAATGAAGTATCTAGGAATCAATCTAACAAAAGAAACAAAAGATCTCTACACTGAAAACTACAGCACTCTGAAAAAAGAAATCGAAGAGGATATAAAAAAATGGAAAGATATCCCCTGCTCCTGGGTAGGAAGAATCAACATAGTGAAAATGGCCATACTACCGAAACTGCTATATACATTCAATGCAATGCCAATTGAAATTCCAACACTATATTTCACAGAACTAGAAAAAAGAATCCAAAAATTCATTTGGAACCACAAGAGACCTAGAATAGCAAAAGCCATTATAGGCAACAGTCACATGGCACCAGGTGTAACAATTCCCAATTTGAAACTATACTACAAAGCCACTGTGATAAAATCAGCATGGTACTGGCAAAGAAATAGGCCTGAGGATCAATGGAACAGACTGGAAGACACAAAAACAAATGCAGATGTACTCAGCTACCTCATCTTCGACAAAGGAGCTCACCATCCTCAGTGGAGGAAAGATAGCCTCTTTAATAAATGGTGTTGGAAAAACTGGATATCAACCTGTCACAGATTAAAATTAGACCCTTATCTTTCGCCATGCACTAAATTAAAATCCAAATGGATTAAAGATCTAAATATTAAAACAGAAACATTAAACTTGCTGGAAAGTAAGTTAGGCAGAACTCTGGAAGACATTGGTATAGGAAAAGACTTTATGAACAAATCCTCAGTAGCACGGGAACTAGCAGAAAGAATCAACAACTGGGATCTCATCTTACTAAAAAGCTTCTGTACTTCAAAAGAAACCATTAGCAGAACTAAGAGACAATCTACAATGTGGGAAAAAATTTTTACCAGCTGTACCTCAGACAAAGGACTATTATCAAGGATATATAAAGAACTCAAAACAATCAGTCCCCCCAAATATAAAGACCCGATCCAAAAATGGGCATCCGAAATGAACAGACATTTCTCATACAAAGAAGTGAAAGCAGCAAGAAAATATATGAAAAAATGTTCCACATCACTGGTCATTCGAGAGATGCAGATGAAAACAACACTGAGATTCCACCTCACCCCACAAAGAATGGCTGCTATCAAGAAATCACACAATAACAAATGTTGGCGGGGTTGTGGGGAGAAAGGAACCCTCCTCCATTGTTGGTGGGAGTGCAGACTAGTGCAACCACTATGGAAATCAATATGGAGATACCTCAAAGAGCTTGGACTGGAGGTTCCATTTGACCCAGCCATCCCTCTGTTGGGTATCTTTCCAAGAGAACTAAAAGAATCATATCACAGAGAAGTATGTGCACCCATGTTTATAGCGGCACAGTTTGTAATAGCTAAATCTTGGAAACAACCTATTTGCCCATCCGTTGGAAACTGGATAAAGAAGTTGTGGTTTTTCTATAAAATGGAATATTACTCAGCCATAAAGAGCGAGAGAATAGATTCATTCATAGGAAAATGGATACATATTGAAGATATACTCCTAAGTGAAATAAATAAGTCCCACATGTGTAAATACCAAATAGTTTCCCTGGTGTGAATATTCTGCAACAATGCATAAGATTCTAATAAGATTACTGACATTTAGAAATGGGAGGAAAGGAGCTAAAGGTGTAGGGAAGGTGTGATACGTAGGGGAAGAACAAAAAGGGAAAAGAAAAAAATGTGAGAGAATGAAAAGATGAAAATAAAGTGTTTGTAGATGGGGAGGGGAGGGGGGGGTGAAGGGAGGGCAGAGGTAAGGGTAAAAAATAAGAATCAAGACTTGCCATGTAAAGGTACATGATCCCAACAATGAATGTAACTGTACTGTATCCCTAAATGTACCAATAAACTCAATACAATTTAAATAAAAAAAAATTAAAAAAACAAAGTCATTGGGTTCAATCCTCACTCCAGTGGGGAAAAAGGCTGAGAGATCATTCCTCAGGTTAGTGACTCCAGAACAACCATGAGAAAAAACACTGAGAAATTCCTTTATCTACCAAAACTCCTGGGATTATTTGTTTGACAGTGAATGTGATAGTATTAGGCCTGGAGACCAAGCCCAGGAGACATGTGCCTTCCACTGAAGACTGGTGTGTGCTTTACTATAAACTAAATGAGGATATTGTTTTAGATTTCTTTCCTTTGAAAGGACTCAGAATCTAAACATGTCACTGAACAGTATCCTTGGTTTGATCCCTAATTTTAGCTTAGTGTTCATTTAATCAAAAGCATGCCTTTCTAGGGAAATGTTCTTAGTTTTGTTTAGCCTAACTGGGAAATATTTGAAAGATTCTAGAAAATCTGTTCAGCTTCTTTTGAGCTTTGTGAATGAAAGACTGGTGCTACAGGCATGAAAGAAATACAAGGATTTTTCAGGCCAGCACAATGTAAATTAAAGTCAAAAGTGAATTAGTATCAACTTGAATCTTTCCTTGTAAGATGCTGATATATACAGATGGCAAATATTCTAAAATATCCTGCTTCAGATGGTTCAAGGATTAAATAATAATGCAAATGGATTTTACCACAGCATTAGATTTATGGCAGAGAAATACTGTAGTACATAAAGTGAAATTCCATTTTGAATGGCTTTCCTATCAACTTCACTGTATTTTCCACTCAGAAGCAGTTTGTTGTGCATCTGTTGCATTCCCTGTGGGGCCAAGACTTGAGGCTGCATGGATGAATAATAGTTTATCCCTGCTAGACGGAAATCTATGCTTAGGGAACTGTGTTAGATGTTTACAGTTAACTCCAATACAATCTAGGGACCAGGGTGCCAGTGCTGTATCTAGAAACAAAGAGATGAATTCTGCTGTAAGTGAAGGAGAGAAGAGGGGGCAAAAAATGTCCCACAGGCAGGAGACGTTTGAGCTGTGTGTAGAAAGGTGGGAAATTATGATCAGAAGATAGAAACAGTGTTCTGGGCAGAAGGGACAGAGATGTGGCGATACATGGGGTGCTCAGAGAAAGAGGCCGCTACAGAAGCAGAGGGAAGAATGTCAGGGTTGCTGGGGGACGTTGTGAAGTTCCTTGAACACAGGTCTCAAAGGGTGGGTGTCATTGGAAGTAGCATCCTGAGGACGCAGTGACCAGTTTGCAACGGGAGCCGGCGAGAAGGAGGGAGCAAGGTAGAAAGGAGTCAACACGACTGGTTTCTGGTTCATACTCGTTTTTGGCTCATCGTGATTTTTATCAATGGATTTAAATTTATGTTTCAAGGAGCAAGCAGGCATAGGGTGCTGCCAAGGGAGCTATGTTTGTGATGTCCAGAAATAGGGGGCTGCATCAGTTTGGGAAGGGTGTAGGCTGGAGATTCCAATTTCAAAGTCATCAGGACAGAGAGTCACTTTCTTTTTAATAAACT